GAACAGAGCGCCTCCAGAACTACTTGTGAGACCCCTAGTCAATCCCGGGCTCAAAGCACGTCCAAATCTGGAGAACCCTAATGATGCAACAGATCAGTCTATGCAGGTACCAAACTCCGTCACACAATCCGTGGTCCGAAGTACCAGAGCTCTTCTGCCAAAAAACTAATGGTATCCGATCGCGACGGGGTTGGCCGAGATACCACTTCCTACCCAAGCGCATTTCTACACCGACTCCTTGGCAAATTTCCAGAGCTGAATTTACATTTGATATCTAGTCAGTGGGATATTATTGCTGTTACAGAGACTTTGCTCACAGCTGATATTTCGGAATCAGAATTGTCTCTACTCAGAAGCGATAGTTCTACCCGTGGTGGTGGTATTTTACACTACTACCGAAACAATCTTGATTGCGAGAAAATCTACCCTCCCGTTTCGACACCGAACACTGTAGTGTAGGTTTAAATTGTCCAAAAAAGATGATTGTTTGACTAGTATCGTCTATCGTCCCCCATCATCTCTGGAGACGGCCAATGAAACGCTTTTACTATGTCACATATTCTTTACACAAACATTTATCCACGTTCTCCTTATGGGTGATTTCAACTGCCCCAATCTCACCAAATCAGCAACCGTTCATTTTTCGAACATCACTTCAAACGGCTGATTGACTCGCATCCACTATACAACCATGAGGTGGCCACCAGGTTTGGAAACCTACATTCACCGTCCATAATGGATTTTGTATTGACCAATGAGGAGCTAATGGTAGAGTCTCTCAACGTGACTTGCTCCCTAGGACGCAGCGATCACGCAGTTCTTACATTCAAATATATTTGTTACGCTTCGACTCATAGAAGTTACCCAGGTAACAAGAGCAGATTTATAGACTACACACTGTTGGATAACTTGGCACTCTCTACTTGGTGGGTTTCCCTTGACAAAGAATCCAATCCGTTGGTCGACTGGAAGAAATTTATTGACAATCTTACAAATCTAATGACATCCGTGACTCAGACTAAAGTAACCACCGAATCCGGCATCCGAAATTCACCTATTCGAAGCTGCACAAGGAATTGGTTATCGATAAGGGACTTATCTTGGCGAGATTATAATCGTCTTCCGAGTGTAGTCACGTGGAATAATTATAGTATGCTGAGGAACCACTGCACCAAGCCAATTCATGAGGGTAACCTGAAATACCAAGAGGCGCTAGCACTGAGATTCTTTTCTCACCCTACGCTGCTGTACAAACACGTCGACTCCATTCTGAATGTAAAGTTTGGTATACCGGTACTAAGTAGCACTGGAAGAGTTGCAGCCACTCCAACGGAAAAAACTCATTATTCCAATGTTTTCGCAGCACCGCAGGTTGAAGGTTTACAACAATTCCAACGGTTTCATCATCTTCCACATCCTTCACTGACCTACGTTTCATTTACTGCTGAAAACGTCAAAGCGAAAATAATGGCTTTGCGAAAAACTGCAACTCCAGGTGCGGACAACATACACCCGAAACCTCTGATCGTTTTGGCGAATTACATATTCGAACCTCCAGCCATTCTATTTTAACGAATGTTCGACCAAGCAACACTCCCAGAATCGTGGAACCAAAGAGTCATTTTTCCCATATACAAAGGTAGTTGTAGTGAAGCCGCTGACTACCGACCTGTGACCCTGCTTCCGGTGTTATCGAAAGTCATGGAATCAATTGTGGCAGATTCTCTGATGGAACATCTCGAAAGATTCTTTCGATAGCTCAACAAATGTTTAGGCAAAAGCGATCCTGAACCACGAACCTCATTCTCGTTCGAGATGAATGGACCAGAACAGTCAACGAAGGGGATGCGGTGGATGTTATTTATCTCGACTTCGCGAAAGTATTTAGTCGGGTGAATCACAAAATTTTACTGGAGAAGCTCGACAATTATGGCGTTCAAGATTTCGCGTTTGATTGGATTAACACAATCCTCGAACGACGGACCATATCAAATTGTGTTTCTAATTCCACATCCGGATCTATCAAAGCTACTCGCGGTGTTCCACAAGGGTCCGTACTCGGCCCCCGTCTGTTCCTCGCATTCATAAATGATCTAGCGAAAGTGTTAGGCCCAAAAACAATACTGTTTGCAGGTGACGCCAAAGTCAGTAATCACTGTAGTCTACATTCTCTATTATCTCCTGCCCGGAACTCTATGTGACTTCTTTTTCGGCGTGTAACGATTCATTTGTGTAAATATCCTACGGGGACAAGAGGAGCACGAGCTTGTAAGTTATTCCCATAATACAACTTTGAATTTGAATTCGTATCTACCTTTTACAAATAATATGTGAGTAACTTCATCTTCTTATACGATGCTGACAAGGACGCTCATATTCTATTCGAGAATTCCCGTGGTTTTTCTCCGAAAATATAGTTCACACTTGAAAAGGAATCCACAAGTGGTCTTTTAACGATCAGTTGACTCCATTCGTAAAAGGATTCACCATAAGATACCGAACGGTAAAGTACACACGCTACTAAATTCTCGTACCAAAGCAACACTAGATTGATTTCATCTGAACTCTGTCTAATAGGGTAAAAACATTCAAACTAAGAATAATACGAAATATGTTTGGAGAGAATGTCTATCCTTTATAAAAGCATGACATCATCTTCACCCAAGGCATTGTACGGCACAGGAATGAAGAAGTGTGTCTATCTCTACATCCCATTCCGGTAAGAAACGATTGTGAAAATTATGAATAGACGAAATCAATTGTACATCAAACTCACGTACTCTGCGGCTGAACCCAGAAATATTTTTACATCGCACTCTGTTCTCTATGTGCAGTCTAAAGATAGATTTCACTGGATGCGACCTCATTTTGTATTTATCAATTTAACTCGTCCTTTTGAGCAATTTATATGGATCGAATGGGGAGACGTCTATCTGATCGCATTAAGGAGCATCACCAAGCTAGTTATATCCGGGACTGACAAGGACCGGGGCGGTGGTTATTAAGAAACATTTAACTGAGTCTAGTCACACAGTCAATGTGCTTGAGGTTTTCCTTCCTCTCTATGTGATCAAAGGTAGCTTATCCAAAGAGTCCAAGTTCAGAATATTGTTACCAGCCGAGACGATTGCCAGCCATATTCACACTCCGCTCCTTGGGGGCCCAGAAACAGTTTGTAAGAACACGGGACTTACCATGGCCTTAAACCAACAATCCGATGACGTAAATTCCGTTCATGAAATCTCACTCATTCACCTAATCATCGATTCACAACCGCCCCGCGTCTCTCACTTTTCACGCATTCTGATATGTCGAATTATAATTGGCAGGAATTACTGGGTGGGATAAATGCTGTTCATGCTTGACAGTAGTCTACTTCACGATGCTTTATTCTGTAGTTCCTGCTTTAAGGCGACCGAATGCATATGGAGTTGTCTGCGGTGCCCCTGTATGGAATCCGAATTCTCTGCAACTGATTCATCGGAAACAGAAAAACACATTTTGATTTCCTTGATCATCAATATCAGGATTTCGCTAACACATGCAAGGATGGAGGGAATGGCGAGTCCTTAGACACAACATTATCCATACGGGTTGTTCTAAAGCGGATTGGCAATCGTAGAAAAGCCATTCTAGCGTTGCTGATGCAAACGTACAGGTCCGTTCATTATTCAAGGTATTCAAAATATTTTAAGTCCTCGGAATATGTAGTCACAACCGTAACAGTAGTCACAGTCAAATACTCCAAAACCAGGGGGCAGGAAGAAAGCTACAAAGGTAGCGGTTGCTTTGTTCCCCCGCTTCTCCGCTTGCTGAATCGGAGACTGTTAAAATTTTGTTCGCTACCCAGAAAATTTTAGTGTTTGAGGTTTAAGTGTTTCGGCAAAAAGTTCCATCCGACTGACTAGGTTTACAGGAGTATTTTCTATGATATTTTTGTAGTACTACAATTGTGTCTACCATAGCGAGGTCAGTATTTCATAGATAGGGAACAAACTGGACCTTATCGCGTCTGTATAGGGTTCATTCCATTACCAGTTCGATGCCATAGTCAAATATCACNCTGTTAAGATCTTCAAAACAGTCTAGATTCGGTTGACTCCTTCTGATAAGCTTGGATTAGCCCCCAAGTTCACTAGTAGTATGAAATCAAGAGGTCAATAATTACTGGCATTCCGTCTGAAAGTTGTACAAAATCAGAGACCACACGTAATTCATTGGAGCAGGCAATGGTCGGCGATTGAATTTCGTGACTTTGTTTCCGGACCCTACAAAGATTCGGTATAAACAACCTTCTTTAACGCGACGAGCCTCCAGATTTCACATAACTGTAGTCAATGTGAAGCTATTCATTATAATCACGGTTTTTTTAACCATTTACTATGCACTTTCATACGCCGGTAAAGAGTATGGTGATGATGAAGTTAATCCTCCTGTGGGTACTGTACACTACTTTGAGTATTTTAAGAGACGAGTAGAAAAATGGAACTAGCTCATTTCTTTGAAAAGGTCTTGGTCTGCAAGTCAATACAAAACAACAAATGCAGTCGGTCAATTAGCGTTGAAAAGCCGGATTTCAAGAGCTCCAGAAGTATACCACCTATCTTTGGGAAATGTTCCTTCTTTTGGCTGTCTTGTGGTAGTGTTGATTTATTGTTTCCTAGTGCATTGCAGTTGATTTGATACGGCACAGAATCCACAGAGTGTATGAGTTGATTTAACCGTCTTGGCGAGCGGTTCAGTCATTGGTTCAGGAGGCTGTAGGTTGGCAGAAGCCGTCTGTTAGCGAAGCTATAGGCTCCCGAACGAATCTCCAGATCACGGATGGGAGACTCGTTACTGAGTTGGTTCACCGTAAGCAGATAGATAACGTTAAACGATCGCGGATAATCGGTAACGATTATTAAATAGGTGGTGTGGTTCTACCTGGTCAGCAATCTCGCTTGATCAAAAAGCCACAACTGCTCATGATAGTTTCACCTGCACGAGGTCTTGAGATTGAAATATACCACATACACATCTGGAACTCTAATGATTACCTCAGGCCAATTAAGGTGTTGGTATGTTATTTCTATTCAAGAAGGCCAATACTAGATTAAGGATACAAAGGTATTATTACGAAGGCCAAGTTTTCTAACCCCCCCCCCCCCGAGTCCCCGCCGCCACCACCTAACGTTCCCTATTTTCTATGAACCATGAGGACAGCTCTTCGAGTGATCGCTCCGCATCCATGAAAAAGTTTGTACAATTATACATCCAATGAGAGGAAGTATAAAGAGGAAAGAGGAAACAACGCCCATGCTCATTGTTCATCAAAAACGTATCGAAACGTAGACAATCAGCAAAACAGTATCCGACTCACGCCTCGTGTTCGCGTAGTATGCGAGCTCCGATCCAGTAGGCCATGAGTTTTTCTGTATCGCTGACCTTCATCTTCAAATCAGAAAGTACTGTACAGGCCTGCGCTCGTATGAGCGTGAGACGGAATACCGCTGCTGAGGCTGTCGAAAATACAAATAGAATGAATTGAGAAAAATAAATGAACCAACACAGATTTTATGCGATGTTTTGGGTAATTTTTCTTGCATGCTGTTACAGTCATATGGCAGAAGAGAGGCTTCCTTGTGAAGTGGGGGTGGGGGGTGGGGCAACCTAAGCCAACTTGCAATCGAAATAATAAAAAATGCCAGGGTGGTAAGAGTCTTAGATTTGCTAGTGTATAATCAAATGAATTTCAATTGCCTAATCATCGTCAGTTAGCTAAAGTAATCATCAAACCCGCATGAGAAATGATTCGGTTTCCGCCCATTAAGTTGGATAGTATGCACCGATTGTTTTTCGCTCACGGGTCAAACCGACGAATGATAGACTCTCCTCCGTTGAGTTCAAAGTTATTCGTAATTGGTAGTGCGGGATCAATTATTCTTGTGTTTTCCAATCATCCTTCAGAATTCGGCATAATCCGCAAACCTCAGTTCATCCAGGCTACAATGCCATCGTGAAGTTGCAAAGTCGAATCCTATTCTAGCTAGCACTCACCAATTATGCACACAAATCGGTTTATTCTGCGTTGGTACCCTGAGTCCCACACCAGGACTAGCAAATGGCTCACTTTGGTGTATTCAAATTCTCGTGGACTCTGAGGTGCGATTGAGCTTGGTAAGTAAACATTGATACCAAATTAGTAGCAATCAGGTTTACTGTCTTCTCCATGTGGGGAAAAGTCTGCATTCAAATTGATTCTGTTTCCACGTTTCCTCACCATCTTAAGTGATGCTGCAGACGTCCAGTCTTATATTCACACCATATACTTGCTCTGTAGGCACTGTTCGATTAAACGTGTCTCTAGTTTAAGTTATATCACATGGTGGCGGTGGTCTAGTGGTAAAGTCGACAAGAGATTCACCTGGAGGTCATGAGTTCGAACACTGCCATCGTTGCCCATCATGCATTTAACAATGGAGCCTTTTCACGGTCGCGGCCCCCTTTCTGAAACTTTATCATATGTTTCCATAGTGAATAAAAAAGTAAATAAAACATTTATTTATTCATCCCTGCGACCGTTCGTGTAGCACCGACGCAAATATTTTTTTAATCGATCGATCCAAGATTTACGTAAGTCGCACATCGAGGCGGACAATAATCGTTCAGAGTGTGAAACAACGAGAAAGAAAGTTGTGTTCTACAACAGAAACTTAATACCGTACCCCATTGCTGGAAAAATCGTTGTGATTTTGTTTCACATTGTTTATTTATCGATGCATAAATAGTTAAATATTATTTAATCAATCTTATTCTCGGGAGAGCAGAGCTGTATGCTATCGTGCGCGTTCCCAGATCACGGGTAGGGAAACGGCTGTCATTTCATGGCTAACCGTGAATAAGGCGGGCTTGGGCCTTCCAAATAAACGGTCGTGGACGATCAGCGGCAGCGCTCGAGGATGTGGCAAGGGTACTACACACAAAACACCACACATCTTTGGGCAGCACTGTGACATGGCGAGTGTGGCCCGCCACTAAATACGGTCATCGCCCTTTGTCAAAATCTATCACTCGGCTAGGTTTTTCAAAAGAGGCGAATGAACCAAATACTGGCCCCTGGCTCATCTGGAACATCGCTGCTGTCATGCAGTTGCACTTGGTTGCGCAAAGCCTAGAGTGCACTCTCGAACAAGGCCTACTCTAGACCGGGCGACTGATTGGTACAACAGCCCACAACACCAACAACGATGAACTCTTTGACTTTTATGTGCCATCAGTCTACTATGTTTGCATCTAAAGATAAACACCCTAAAGCGTAAACACTCATGGTTTCCCAGTCCTTCTAACCTTCACACCCTTAGACCACCTCCCCTCTCGTTTTTATCAGACGATCGTACTAAAAGCAGTGCCTCAGGCGGAAATTCTGCCACTGTTCGCTCCCGTCCTACCTGGACTACCGTCCAAGTCTCACCGAATCCTCCACCAACTGAAGCACTTCTGCGTCCGCGATGCTTATTAAAACTAGCCACGTTTAATGTGCGCACTCCTATGCGTATAGGCATGTTTAGCTCTTACGCTCGAGACCTTAGCCATCGATGTGTGTTGTATCCAAGAGACTAACATTCAAGACAACAAGCTCCATTATCCCATTGACGTACTAATCAAACCCATCAGTGACGTTTCATTCACACCTCTCTGGAGACCCTAAGGCTGCGGTTTCCGGTCTTGCTGCTGTTGGCATCACCTTGAGTGAGAGCTGAAGGCGTGCTTCTGGAGGGCATTCCAGTCAACAGTAAGGTGTGCGCAGTGTGACTCAGAGGTTCGTATAATGTAAGCAACCGTTTCCCCGATAGACGAAACCTGTTTGTTGTATCGACCGTTGGCTCCGTGTTCTGAATACCGCCTGTTCTTCGCCAGTACAAAGTTCAGACCCTCCAACTGCCGGCCCACCCTCGTCGAGTCAGAAAACGATGCAGATCAACCACATCTATATAAGTAGCAAATGGCGGTGTTGTATATAAGACTGTCGATCGTACTGGCGCACTTCCCTTGAATCCGACCACGCGTTAACTTGCGAGAAGCTGTCCATATGTTTCGGCGGGCGTTCTAAACGCAAGACACAACGAGCGTTAGACTGTGATGAGTTGTCTGAAAAAGCAGGCCTAACTGTCCTTCAGAACGCCTTAGCTGAAAAGCTAGAACCAATCTCACCTGATGACGTTAACTCTCACTGAATGCTCATCAAGAACGCTCTGTATTCTGCTGACTTTGTTGTGGTCTGACATGTTGTGCTGCGACACCCTGGATTGCTGCGGAGTCTCTACGCCTACTCGACGCACGCCGATCAATCCCAACCGCAGCGAGCATAATGAAATAAGGCACGCAATGAGTCGTATTGTCAACGTAATCCTACGCAAAGACAGCGAAAACTGATGAACTCAACGAGCGTCAGTGATAGAACGGGCTGCCGCCATGGGAAACTCCGTAAGCTGTTCCATCTCATTCGGGGCACCGGTAGGAAAGCCTTGGGTTTGAGCGAAACGATCTGCATTCATAAACAACAACGACGTCTTGCACGCTGGACGGAGCACTATGAGGCACAGTTTAACAGACCAGCAACGTCGGCTTTTCACACAGCTACTCCGGCAGATGTCCCATGGTCTGCCTCCACAGATCCACCTTGTGAGGCAGAAATCCGTAAGGAAATCCAAGCTTTTGGATCTAAAAAAGCGCCGGGATCCGATGGCCTTCCTCCCGCTCTATTTAAAGATGAAGGAATAGAGCTTGTTAGAGAACTACATGTTCCGTTCCCCTAAGTTTGGAACAGCGTACAGGTCTCCTCCTTGTGGGTGGGCGGGGGATCGATTGTTGTCCCAAACGTAAAAAGAGCCCGCGCAATCGCAGGGGCATAAACCTGATCCAAATGGCGTCAAAGCTGTTGGCGTCCGTCATACTCCACCGATTGTACACTATGCGTGAAGAGCAGAACCGCGAGAAGCAGGCTGGGTTTCACGCCGGTCGTGGCTGCATCGATCAAATCTTCATCTCCCAACAGCTGCTAGAGCACCGTCATGTCTATCAATCATTGTTTCGATCATTGTATTCTTAGACATTCGCGTAACCCTAGAGTCTATCGATAGGATACCGCTGTGGAACTGTTTGTTGAGGACTGGTGTATCTGAGAAGTGTGTTGATCCTCAAAGAATTGTACTGTCATATCTCAGGTCTGTTTGGTCACTACGGCCTGCCTTCGCCACCCTTCGCCGTCTCCAGTGGAGTTCGACAAGGCTACCGTATATTCCCATTCCTTTTCAATTTTTTCATAGAGGATGTGTGTGGTGTCATTACAAACTTGTGTATACTCGTAGTACTGCCTAATGTTTATCCGTTATTCTATACCCTCCCAAATTTCTGACACAGAACGCATTCGTAGGAGACTAATTGTTTAAAATCTTAGGTAAATTATATCCATTTTCATATTTTGACGCCACCTTTTACTTGAATTTATGACACCTTAATGTACGTTTTCTCTGTGACAGTATGGCGTGATAAATGACCCTGATGTGTAAGGAGCTGAAAATCCATCCATTTTGACGAATAAATCGGTTTGCGACTTGACCTGATGCACTTGCAATTTTCTTCTGTCTAATTCCTCTGATCATACTGAATGGGCTTTCGAAATTTTCAACTCAACTGACGCGTGATAATGCTTATTATAGGCTGTCTCCGAAAACATCTATCTCGCCGTGACTGAAGACAACTTTTGGTCTTGTCGTATTTCAGCTGTGTGATTGATATGAGTGGTCACTGTAATCGAGATCTGGATCGTATCCACTATATTAGAGGCATTATGCGGTGTAGACTAAGAGACTTGATTGGTTTTATAAAAAGCGACTTAATTTTACACGCCATTACCATAGGACTAAAATTTGAGGTGTAAGTGAGCTCTCTGATTGGTTCACTAAAAGTGACGGATTATTATCACGGAGATGATCATTAAAAACTGAATGCAATAAAAATGCGATATAAAAGAAATAAATACGGTTGATAGACACATTGCATAGAACTATTACCCTCCTTTTCTAGAGCAGTTACGTGTTCCTTCCGTAGACGAGCACGAATCTGACGGGCCAATTGTTCCTCTTCGCTTACCTCTGTTGCATGGGAATATATGAACAGAAAATAAATTGACTGAATCTCAGATAACCGTACATCACAATTTCGTCAAACCGAAAAAAAACTTTTCAGAAAGAGAGGAAAGCGGGTTTATAAATCAACACAAACTATTCTTGATACTTCACCAACCGCTGTTTGCATCTGCTTGGGTCAATGTATATCAGAATAGTTTTGGATGGGAAGTAAATACAATTCTTATTGGAAAATGAGATTAATCGCACGTTTTTTGGAAAACGTTTGGTAGTTCATCAGATTATGTGGTGGTAGACAGGGTTGAGGATGATAGTATAGGAGGTATATCTTCAACATTTAAAAGGAAATAAAAAAAGAATATTGGAATTTATAAACAATTTAAATCTCTGAGAAACGTAACTGAGATGCTCAAATGAATCCCATGAAGCTTTGGACGCACAGCTGAATCAGCGATCAGTGATGATACCACTGATGATATCAAGTGCATTCGCTTTTTCTTTTGATCTTAAAAGGCAGCAGCATGGTTGCAATTTTGAAAAAGTAAATATATTAAATAAACCAAGAGTAGACTAAAAGAAACAAACCCTTTGCACATGGTGCCCTTTGCAGACCTCAGTGCATTGAAAAATAACAACTTTGAGCATTGATGAATTGGGAGGAGCAGCAACTGCGAATCAGGTTGATATGCATCAAGGTGTACTGTAATCGGATAGATAAAGCAAAAATTGATATATAACTGATACTGATTTGCATAATTCGTCCCCTATCTAATTTGACCAAAAAAACACAAATTTCAGATATAAGCACATTCCGCATATTTAGTAGCCCACATAATCAATCAGCCTGCCTCAAAGTGTCAGCAATCACACTGAAATTCACGGTAAAAGCCACAAAAATAAAGAAAAGATAGATGAAAATAGAGTGAAAAGAACAAAGGAACTCGTATATGAGAAAGAGCAGCGTAGTCAGATCAACCGTACCGGCGGACAAAGGTGGCTCCTCTGTTTTCGTCACCCGACATTTGGGTGTCGCGCTTTTTCGACCAGGCTTTTTACCAGTCCCGGCTTTATTCTTATCATCTGTTGCTCCGTGAGCTGCCTTTCCACCAGCTAGTCCATCAGTTGCTGCCTCAGCCGATCGTGCTAAAAGTTCGGTTTGGTACTGCGTGTGAGGAAGAGGACAAAATTAGTAGGGTGGGCATAAACGAAAGAAGACAAAATATCGGAAAAATGTGTTACGTGGCTACCAAAGTAACCTGGTACGCTCTTCCCTATACAAAGGTTTTCGACCAGATGCTAGGACTTGAGTTGTCTTCCATGAGGAGGACGTGGCAGAAAAATGTATATCCAGAGAGAGATATCGGTGCACCTTAGATAGCAGGAAAAAATACAATGAAAGTGCACGGACTGGGCAAAAATACCTTGTCTATAGAACTCTTTTTCAATAGAGAGACGGCAAAATAAATTTCCCATAGGAGTCGCAAGCGCCATAGTTGAAGGTACCTTTAATTTGGCTGAGCTCAGAGGAGTATACTGTATAACACTCGGTGATTATACAAATTAATTGACCATCGTTACGCTACTACATGACGCCTCCTTACTTTGGAAAATTTGATAAACATTTGATTCCATATTATTCTCATCCCCGCGTTTTATGTCTGGAATTGATCCGGATTGTGTACCTCAGACACACCTCGTCATCGGCCTAACAAACGTAAATGAACTGCAACGCTTTAAATGGGTACATTTCATACGTTACCAAACGGACAACCATTACCTCATACTGTAACTGGAAGGTGGGTTGGCAAAACGTGTATTGATCAAATTGAATAACAACCGATGTATGCGCTCCATCGTATACAATTAATTCTTAACCGCGCGGCAGGATGATTCATGCCTCATTCTGTTGGTCCATTCCTGTTGGTTTTGGTTCACACTTGACACGTACGTCGTTTCTTCTTCCGCGTGCCGTTCCGACTGGTTTGACCCGATCGTAGCGCGAGATACGTTGATCGAC